GGAACGTATCGCAGATTTCTTATATTTTTTCTTCTACCCTGAAGATGGAGGCGATACGTTCCTCCGAAACGTCGGTTAACACCACATATACACGGTGCCAAATCCCAGAAGACTGCTTTCTTCATAGTCACCGCCGTGAAAGCCTCAAATCTTACATAAATATTAGATATGTTCTCCGATGAGCTATCAGATTTGCCAACTGCTTCGTCTTCTGATAGCGAGGCCATTATCAGTGACAGTGACAGTGATGGGGGGCCACAGGGCTGCCCAAAATGTGTCAAGTGAAAGTGAGAGCTCCGTTGAAAGTGCGAGTGTCGGGACAGCAATACCTACACTCAAGGAAAGTAGGTATTTGTGGTACAATTAGGGTGAACAGAGGCCTCCCTCCAGATCTGAAAGAGGAATGTAAACGCCTGGCGACACCGCATTCAGGAGGAAGGAGGACATCCTTCTTCAGTCCTGGAGGGATACTCGCATTGTGAATATGGTTTCCACTATTCACAATTCGAGCATGGTTGAAGTTCAAAGACGACACGGGCAAGTAAAGAAGCCTCTTTGTATTTCTGANTATTTTGAGGTTTTATACCCACCATGATTTTAAGAATTTTCTTTTGTAATGTAAATACCTTTTTGCTGTCAGATGAGTTACCTCAGAATATTATTTCATGCTTCATTATAGAGTGAAAGTAGGCAAAATAAACTGATTTCAGTGTATCAGTGTTGCTGACATGTAACAAGGCTCTTACTGCATAACATGCCCCACTTAACTTCAGAACCAAGTGATCAGAGTGGTATTTCCAGTTTAAGTGGTTATTGATTTGTAAGCCAAGGAATTTTGTGTGTATTGACTCTTCTATATGAGTATATTTATTATTATATCCAATGCTTAATGGATATTGAGGTGTATTATTTGTTATAAATTTTATTATATTTGTTTTATCTAAATTCAGGGCCAGTTTGTTAGCAGCAAACTATTTACTCATATGAGAAAGAACACTGTTCAATGACATACAGAAATCATCTAAATTCTTACTAGAAATTATTATGCTAGTGTCATCAGCAAATATTATGGGTATTTAAGATTTGAGGCTTTCACGGTGGTGACTATGAAGAAAGCAGTCTTCTGGGATTTGGCACCGTGTATATGTGGTGTTAACCGACGTTTCAGAGCAGACTGCTTTTACTGGTTCTTACGGTCTCTTCACTTGCAGATTTCTTGTATTTTTCTTCTACCCTGAAGATGGAGGCGATACGTTCCTCCGAAACGTCGGTTAACACCACATATACACGGTGCCAAATCCCAGAAGACTGCTTTCTTCATTATGGGTATTGATTGGGTATTTATTGTTGGGGGAAGGTTATTTATATAGATTATAAAAAGCAAAGGTCCTAAAATTGACCCCTGAGGAACTCCATGCTCTATTGTTCCCCATTTTAAATAAGCACTTTGGGATGCATTAGGTGATTTTATTTCAATCTTTTGTTTTCTATCTACAAGGTAGGATCTGAACCAACCTGCCACTGTTCCCTTACTTACTTACTTACTTACTTGCTCATGGAGTAATGGAGTAATGCCACTTCTGCAGCCACTCAAGAATTTCCCCGCATTCTATGGAACCTGAAGGTTCATCACCATGTTCACAAGAGCCCTCCACTGGTCCCTATCCTGAGCCAGATCTATCCAATCCATCCCATCCCATCCTATCTCTCTAAGATCCATTCTAATATTATCCACCCACCTACGCCTCGGTCTTCCCTGTGGTCTCTTTCCTTCTGGCTTTCCCACCAATATCATATACGTATCCCTTGTCTCCCCCATTCGTGCTACATGACCTGCCCACCTCATCCTCCTTGACTTGATCATTCTAATTATACTTGGAGAAGAGTAGAATATATGAAGCTCCTCATTATGCAGTTTTCTCCAACCTCCTGTGACTTCATCTC